AGTACACACATTCTCCGGATTTCAGCAATTTTCAGACCTAACGATGCTCAAATAAAGAGACCTAACTTCACACTTGGAGTGGCCCATTAAAATGTAGATAAACAGAAAATTCAAGAAATTGCTAGTACGTATTATGTAAGTTACAATGAGTGCGCCCATTGACTTTCATCAGGGGTGTATTAATATTCATTATTCATATTTTGTTGAGATGAAAGTGAAATTGTTACCTGGCCGATACTTGTATTGGGGAATACAAGTTCTTCAGGCCTTATATAGATCTGAAGAGCAGGGCCCTACGTTCTGCTTTTGTTGCATCAAAATGTTTGTTTTGTCTAACTATTCATTGGACGTTACTTCAGAATCCTCCCATGAACATACCTAGCTCTCAGTGAAAATCAGGGTGGGCTAAAATCAATGTGCATGTTTGGGATTGTCGTATATATATCTGTTACTGTTTGCTAGTAATGACCAAGCGCTTCATGTATACGCAGGCACTGCGGCAGTTGTATGTAGACAATGGGATAAGTCGGCCTGTCGTCAGCTGAGTGATAACCTGAGATCGTCTGCAGTGCCAATGGACATGGACTGCAGCTGGTACAACGTCGTCACAAGCTTGGACGAAAAGGCATGGATAAAACAATGCGGGACCAGAGAGTAGGTCGTAAATATACACATTTCCCATTGACCAATCCAATACGAAGGTCGCTAATGGTACCACGTCGCCCAGGGACAAATACTACAACGTGATGCAAGAATAGTGGGGACAGCGTGGATCTGGATCTGTCGTGAATATTCAGCAAATTCCCAGGGACCAATCAGGTCGTAATGCCACAGCTGGTACTACATCACCACCAAAAGGAAAAGAAGGGAACTGTCGGGGAACCAACGCACACCACCCCAGAGCGCCACCACGCCACAAGTACTTGGCTAAACCACAGGAAGACCGGCATCGGGACCATCGCACACACGCCCGATTGAAAAGACCATTCGATATAACTGACTGGCAACTAAGTGAATGAACGCGACACAGGCACGGTTCGGGAGGGCGATCGGGCCCATCCAGGCAAGATGGCACACGCCCGCACCCAATGGCAAAGAGCGTCTCATGACAACTGACGGGCCAGCCAATGGACGGATGCAACAGAGGCGCGGTTCGGAAACAGCAATCTGGTCAAGATGGCGCACTTTGGATAATAATTGGGTACTTTGGATAATAATAATAATAAGTACAACATTTGTAATGCCCTTTCTACAACATTTCAAAGTGACTTTATTATCCCTGCACATTGGGCTCTCACATCATGTGAACATTCCTGAAATCATCTCAGCTCCCTTGGGAGTATACTAGCCCTGTGCTGCCATTTCGGTGCAAACGACTAAACATAATGGTGTCTGCCCTCACAGGTGAGTCTGCTTCCAGACTAATAGAGCATAAATGAATGAATGATAGGATATTATTTGCATAAATGAATGAATGATAGGATATTATTCATTGTATCACATATTTAAGTTATGCAAGATTGTGCAGGCAAGCTAGGAGAGTTTCTGTACTGCTGTGCATTAATTAGTGTTTAGCAGGCCTTTTTCCTTTCATATTTATTTCTTCTGTTTTTGAGGGGCTGTATTAATAGATGTATAATTAACACTAAGGTACTTTTAAGATCCTGATGTTCAAAGTTTGCATAAACTTTAAAAAAAATCCCAGGCCAAGTTTCACTTTCTATCAAAACATTAATCAGTTGGAAACGCATCAAGTTTTGATTTTGAGTATTCATGTCAGGACATGTTCTTTGTGTAGTTTAGTTGTTTTTGGTTTTGTTGCATCTAATCGTTAAATTCAAACTGATTGTTCAGTGCTAGATTCAAAACAATACAGACTGTTTGGACATTTCAATTTGTTAGCAGTTCAGTATGTGGCAGGTAGAAATGAACAGGTGAAGTTCATTGACATAGATGTTATGAGCAACATGAACAGAGAATATGTGTAAGCTAATAATCTAATATCATGTGAGAGCAACAAGTTGACAGAATTGACGACTTGAGGACATAAAGTTTAAGATAAAGTCTTATGCTTGGAAAAGATTAAGACTTAAAGAGGTGCAATTTCAGATTCAAAATTTGGGCTATTATCAGTTATCATTTTCAATATTGAAGTTTACAGGTTTAAAACAAATACACTTATTTTATTCCTGATAAAAAGGAAAGATCAAATAGTGACTTGTGTGCCCATTTTATTTTTTTTAATACTTATCTCATAGCTTTATTCAGTATGACCTTATACATGTTCAGAGAAACCATTCAAATTTTAAGAAGACCCTGGGGTATTTTTCTATGAATTCTCTCTGCTGTCTCAACCAGGACCAGATGGATAGAGATTTCTTGAAACTTTTTAAGAATCTGTGAGTCACCCTGAATTAGACAAAGCCAGCTAAACCTAACTGAGACCGGACCCCATTGTTATTGCAGCCTGCTTGTTTATATACTTGTATGGCCCCATACAGGGTAGGCCCAAGAAAGTTGATAGCAGTCTGCACTGGTTGGTGTGCCCTTATTGTTCAGCCTTTGGCGCTGATTCAACTATTGTCTCTTTTGGAACTGGTGATTTGCATTTTGTGCCAACGCCCACTTTTCTGCCACAGAGCAAATCTAGGCAAAAGCATTGATTCACACGTCAGTGGGACTTGTTGGCTTGAAATTCACCTCTGCGTGTACTTCATGAGAGGATTGTGCAATAACATCAGAAGAGTAAAAAAAAACCAAATGCATTTAATGAATTATTCATGTTGGGGTGTGTTTTTCATGACACACTTTGCTGGGTCACTGTATAAGAAATCTTGGCACAGTTTCAAGGAGTGACCTTCACCCATGTACCCTGTTGCTGTCACACTGGTGTATAGGGTGGTTTTTACCACTGCATCACCCATGGCCTATCAGTGCTGATTCCAAAGTGGTATTGATAAGAGTAGTGTACAAAACTAGATGTTGACAGTGTGAGGTGGCCTTGTCTTTTGTTCGTGGTTGTTTGGACATTTTTGGATGAGTATTTGTGACATATAAACAATCTAACTAGAGAAAGATTTTGTGAGTCAGGTTTTGACTAAATTTGATTATGCCCGCTGTAATGGTACACTGCTCCTGACAGGATAGCTACAATGGCCTCCTTAACTTGAATATTTTGTAATTGACTGTAATCAGAAATTTTGAGAGGCAGTCTCTTCAGAGGAGCTTTTAGATTAAATACTTTAATTGAGAGAAGATTGGCTTAATCTTCCAGGCTGACCATTTCAGCATAACTTCTCTTTTCTTTTGGAACCAGATGCATCGGAAATCCAGGTATGTTCATCTCAGCAATTAAAATTTATGAAGTTGCAATTTCCTGTTTACATACATTCCGTAGGACGTTTCACTTTCTGTTGCTTTCACTAAACTGAATAAGTTTGTTTTTTAATGTTTTGGCAGCGAGGAGTACAGTTTAGTACCATGTTTGTCACATGTGTCGAATTCAACTTGTGTAATATACCTAAATACTATCACGGGTAGCCGTGTTAGTCTTATTCTCAAAACAATAATGAAATTTTGGTAGCACTTATTAAGTAACTACAAAAGCTTCTGCAGTTTTTCACCTTAATGTTCAAATGCTACCATAATTTCATTAAATTATTAATATCTAAGAAAGAAATGATTAAAGGTAGAATTGAGATTATAGTTAAAATTTCAGTTCCCAGCTGTCCTTTTTTTTTATGGTCAAACCCAGACGTCTAGTATGTAAAAATGATTGTTTAGCATGTGACAGTATTTTTTAGCACAGCACCAGGTTACTGGTGTAGAATAATTTAGTGAGGAACTGTGTTGTTACTTTCTAGCAACAAGTGCATCAATTAATGATTAAGAAGAACCTTATTGATCTACCAGTATCAAGTTAAGCTATTGTTTGTAACAGGTAAAGTTTTGTAAACAAGGAAGACACATGTCAAGATTTTGGGCAGCATTTCTGCCTCAAACAGACATTTGCTCTGTGGCAATCAGCTTGAGTTTTCTTTGTTCATGACAAAAAAATAATGATCATAGTAGTCTGTGTTTCAAAGACGATTAGCTTTGGGATTTTCCCTGAATCTTTTAGGTATGAGACTTCATTCAGCACCGCAACTTGTCAAGGGGATGGTACTACATGTATAAGGAGCTTGTCTGTGGACAGCATTCACAGGTTTAAGTTGTTGGCTTCCTAACCCAAGGCCATAAGTAATCCCCCCCCGCACTGTGCTTCTTGTCATCCTGGTCCATAATACTTCTGATTCATCTTGGAAAAACCCACTGTCCCAGCCTGTACGAAGCAGCTGGATTACACCACACTTTCTCATTGGTCCATAGCTCATATTGCCCCTTGATGATTGGCTTGTACTTATGTGTGACCCCCTGATTGGTCAGTAGTTTGTCAGCATGCACAGAGAGTGTTTACTGAGTTCTTTAGCTGTGTTTGTCTGTGCCATGCATCAGTTGAGTCATCATTGTTCATGTATGCCCTTGCTAACCTGCTGTTGTACAAGTCAACAAAACTGATAAAGAAAAAAAAGTTTTAAAGAGCACCTCTAAGGAAAACATGTTTTTTCTGATTTTATCTAGTCAAATAAATATGGAAGCATCAAATCGAACACAGTGTCAGTTGTCTTCAGAGCTCAACTATAACAATCTTAAAAGGATTTTTTTCTGTTTATGCCAAGATGTGAATTCTGAATGTAGATTGCGTCACTCAGAGAAAACAGAGAAAATGAAGGGAACCCTCACCCTGTGTTCGTAGCAGATTAACCCTTGTGCATTGTTTTGACATTGTTTTGCATTGTTTGGTATGCACAAGGGTTTATCCGCTACGAATACAGGGTGAGGGTTCCCTCGTTTTCTCTGTTTTCTCAAAATGACACAATCTACGTGCAACTTCAGAATTTATTTGAATAGATAAAATCAGAGAAACATGTTTTACTTAGAGGTGCTCTTTAACACCCTGAATAATCATTCTGAACATCTATAGAATGGAATAAGAACGTATGAGTAAAATGTCATGAAAGTTTTTCACTGTAGAGTTTAACAACAACAGCAGCGAGAAAGCTGTCAAGTATTTTTATGTTCGCATGTATGTACATGTACCTCTGCTTGGTTATTGTGTTAAAAATACTGATCTTTGTTTTTATGCCTCCCTGGGAACAATATCTACAATTTGTCCTCGTTACTGTTTTTTGGAAACAATTAAGTGACAGGGAGGAGAGTGGAAAGCAGAACTGTGGAATTTAATCATCCAAATGTCATGAAGGAGTGTGGCCCAGTATAACAACTAGTAGATTTCATTCATATTGCATCAGCTGCAGAAATTAATAAGACAATCAATAATTACATGATTAATTGATGTGTTGTGTGTGTGGTTTAGAGACTTTGAGCAGTCATCACAAATAGTGTGTTTGGTTGAAATGGGGCAAGCCAGCTGTTGCATTAATTGTCATCTGGTTTTTATGGGTGGAGGTTTTTCTTGGGGGGTCCATCATGACAGTTAGCAAATGGAAGTCCCTCACCATTTATAGCCAGATGTTCCTCTGTTTTTATCGGCACTGTGAACAAATCCAATTGATGGATGGATTTGACTGGAAGTAAATACATGCAGAGCCTGTAAATGTGCATGTCCTGAGTAAGGTCACATGAACTTTTATGTGGTCATGCTCAATTTGATAGCAATTAAAGTGCAACTTCAAGGCAACTTGAACTTTAGGGGCACACACACCAGCCAGATGATCCAAATAGTGCCCCTGCTAGACATTACTTAACTCTCCATTGAGTTGGATCATCAGTTTGGTTTCCCTTCTTGGGAAACCATTCACCTAAATGCACCAGTATGTAGAATGGAATACTTCAAACTTTTTCCCATGTGGAATACTTTAGGGGTGTAATAGTGAAAAAAAGCCAAATACAAGTGCAATTCGTTATGCAGGTAAGCTCCTTTCTTCCTTGCACCCAGGGGTATGTACAAGCCTTCCCAGTGCTTCTTATTTTATGTACTGGTATATAACAGTATGTTTCTGGGTACTTTCTAAAATTTTATTGTAATTTACAGAATACTGGAATTTAAATAGTTGTTTCAATTTGTGAAAACTACATGTAAGTTGGTAACATAATTCCTGAATTTTTTTCTGGACTTAAAAAGAGAGAATTAGAAATTAATCCTGAAGCACTTATTGTAATGGCAAATTGAATATTTTTGTTGAATGGTTTAGCATTCACTCAATTAAACAAATTTGACACATGCGAGCTATGGTAGGATACACCCATTGTTTACTTATCCAAGTCTGTTATTTGCCGTCATGTACTGTAGGTCAGCATTATGACCTGGATAGTAAGCGGAGAGTTAACCTCTGCATGTGTATGACTCCCCCAAAGTCATAGAGCAGCTTACTGTACATGTATATGCACATTATCAATGGGAGTTGAAGAGGTTGGTGCCATCAAAGAAGGGCATCACTCAAGTAAAGTATTTGCATAACAGGTTTTGTGGTTGAGATTGTGGTGCAGAGTTCGGTTTTCAAAAGGGGAGTATGACGATACCCTGCACAGCTAGCAGCAATGATGAACAGTAGATTTTTGGAATTGCTTTCATTGTTTCAAATTCCAAATATTGTGTGTATTTCAGGCGGTTGCAATCCTTCCTATTTCTCACTCTGCACAGTTTCTTTGATAAGTGCCTGACAAAGATCTAAAGTCGGCATATTCAAATGCCAGCTTTTACCTCCAGGTGATGTACCAGACCAGTACATATACTGTACTAGTTTGGTCTCCATTGACTGGTAAATTACTTAACTGACTCTCAGTGGGAGAGTAGGCAATAATGTACAGCTAACCTCTGGCTGAACCAACTGTGTTTACAACTGCAGCTAGTATCAGCCTGGGAACCTGCTCTATTGTCTGCGTGGGTTGTTGTTCTAAAAGATCACTGACCGCAAAAAGCTGTGTGCACAGCCCAGCAACAATCACAGGCTCAGTGTTGTGCCAGACTTGGAAGAGAGGCCAGACAGGGTCTCAATGGAGTTTCAGGTGTTACATCAGACCTGGGGTGGGGACAGTTGGGGTTGCTGATTTCAATGTGGTTTATTTCAATGAAAGTGCAGAGGAACGGGTTCAGAGCCTGTTATACCACAATTTAGTAAGCTCATTCATGTGAGTTATTGTGCACATGGGTATAAAGTTGTTTGTACTTAATCTTCTGCCACATTACTAATGCATTTGTGTGAATTGTCATCTGGAATGCAGTTATTGAATGCATCATGTATGTTTATTTCACTGTAACCATCTGGTACAAGTTAAACAACTTGTGTTCAGAGGTTAGGCTTTGGATATTGATTTTTGCACTCTGTAGGCCTTCACCGATGTTATTCAGTTGAAAAGTTCAAAGTAATTTCCTCCTTAGCTTATTGGCCCGGCTTAGTACAGACACATTCCTTTGAATATAAAAAGAGGATTTTGGAAAGAAGAAAAGTAATTTGGCTGAAAGTGATGGGGCACAGTGGACATGTTTGGACACGCCCACATTATTGTTTGGTATGGGTCTGTGAAGTTTTTGCCTGTGCAATTTGTGATTGAAGGACTGCAGATCTTGTGGCTTGCCAAGAATAGCCATAATCTTCATTGGACATTTATGGACAATGAAAATTTCCGCACATGCTTCAGAGTGTGTATACTTTGGTCCCTAAGAAACTTTGTTTTGGCCTTGTTTCAGTTTAGTGGTTCGTTTGACACACATGTTGGTCAAATTAAAACTGAAGATGACCTGCAGTTCTCCAAGGTAGAATTATTTACAATTAAGTACTTAAGGCTGTCTCTTTTACAGTTTTGGTCAGATCTTGTTTTGCATGAGTAGTGTACCAATCTCATTGTTCTATAGTAGCAGCTACTATTGATTTTTTTTGGGGGGGGGGACAGTATTGTTTCCTGGTATTGTCTCCTTGATCATCTTCAGCCTTCTTTCTGTCAATTGTCTGGCCAGTTGTGACTCAGGTCCATATTGATTTTTGCTTTCAAAATCTTATCGTCTTTTCTATCAAACAGAGTACTGCTGTATTATGAGTGAGCTGGAGATCCGAGTGCGGACCCGACTACGCAAACAGACTGACATTGGTCAGGTATTCCCTGAATGCTGTTGGACCAACGACACCTACCTTGACTGCAGTAACCAGTATTGGCTTGGGACACTTTATTATCCAGTTAAAAACAAAGTGACCATTGAGTTGGATTCAGAGACAATACAGATGATGCAGAAGGAGAATTTTGATGATGCTTGCATCGATGTGGAGATATCAGATGATGAGGTGATGATGGATGGAGAAGAGGAGTCTGATACCTTTGAAAGCTTTGACTCCTCCCCTTTGAGTGCCTCAGTGCATTCTCAGACAAATAACGCCACATCATCACCCATAAACATACCAAGCCATTCTGGCCAAGAAGGCCCAAGAACACGTCGTACTAGCTCCGGAGGGACACCCACACATAACTTGAGCTACCTCGGGCGCATGTTTCCTGGAGCCCATTGTGACTCCTCCCCTTTGTCATCTGGTTATGGTTCCGCCCCTCGATACTTCCAATCTGCCTCTACACAGACCCCATCAACTCCAGTGTTCTGTGAGACGCTAATCCGTTTACGGATTTCAAGCATGTCAGGTAACACGAATGATGCCCGGAGCCAGCACATTAGACGACAGCGTTTACAAATGCAAGGTGAGAATGTACTTTTCAAACAGTCACATTAATTACCACAATAATCCAACATCAAAGCTGGATTTCTTAAATTCAATAGTTGAGTTAACCACACCTCACTCAAATTACCTGTAAATATTTTAAGGATTGGCAGCTGATAGCGTATACAACAACTACATAGAGTGTTTGATAGTATTTAATTTGTGAGCAGTGATGAATGATATTACTGAAGCATCTGATAATGTTATTCATTCAAGTTTGTTAGTTCAACGCATGAACAATTAGTTCCACAGATGTACAATAATGTACAGTGCATTTTATACAGAACGCATTCTGAAAAGAACAGTAGAAGACTGTGATGAAAGGGAGACTTAGTGGGATGCAACCATTGACTTCCTGTCTAAATATTTACATGATGAGTCAATTAATGGTATGTCCAATGGAACCTCTTGATTTTTTCTCCTCAGATACTCGAAAGCCATTTTTGTACCAGTATATTTTCAAGTCCATTACTACACAAAGGCGACCAGTACCAGCTTAAAATGTTGCACAGGAAGCAATATGCATGTACATGTGTAAATGACACTCAGAATCAGCACTGTCAGTCAATTATATGGAAAGCACATAATTACTGGAACTCTGCTCAAGTTAACAATGTCCAGTTCAAGCTTCTCTTTAGAAATTTAGTGGAACAAAGGGGATGCTTCACTCCTGTTGTCTTGGTGATGCATCTGCTGTATTTTAGAAGGGAATTTAGCTCTTTTGTTCATCGTTGGAATTCATGATGATGTGCACACATACACATGTATGTATGCACTTAACCATAATAGGGAAAATTTAATAATATTCAGAAGCATGTCTAGACTTGTCTGCTTCACATGAAACCAGCTGCTGAACATTTCTGATATGTGAGCATTGGACAGATGTGAAGAGGAAACAAAGAGCAATCAATGTACTGGAAGTGAAGTATTAAACCAACAAGGAGTGAAAACTGATGTATGTCCAATGTAGTTTTTGAATTTTTTTATTTAGACGGAATACTTTTGTTATTCACAACTCGGCAGGAATTTCCTGGAGTTTTGGCTGAATGCGTGTTATGGATCATTGCCATCAGTTGATTGCATCGTGACAAAAAAAAGGTTATCGCGTGCTGTCAGCCTTTCTTCAAAGTTGCTAGGTTTGGTTTTGAAGGTTTTTTGTTTTGAAGGGGCTTTAAAAACCTTCACTCTGCATTTTTTAGAGATCTTTCAGCTGTATATGTGATTCGAGAAACCAGAGTGTCAGCATGTATTGGTATTGGTACAGTTATCAGAATGGCAGCTACTACCTCAGCTTTCACAATGGTACTGACCACAGTCCAGTCAGGCAGATATCTAACCTGAATTTTAAGGGGGTCACAGCATTTCAGTTCTGAATATTTCTGAAGAATTTATGGCTCTAAGTTTGAATAAGGGGTTGTCTGTTGACAAATATTTGTCCACTCTATTTATAAACATCTGCCCCCCAATAATGAAAATGTACACAAATTTCCCATATCAAGCTTGGATTGTATGCTAAACTTGGAACAATGAGGTTTATTATACATGCTAATGTTGACCTAAGGTCAGTGGTTGACCTGATGCAAGGTCAGTTTGGCAATTAGCAGATATGTCAGCTTTAATGTTAACAGAGAACACCACTTCTTGCAGTAGGGAAGTGCCAGCTAAGTAATCAAACTTGTTGATGGATTTGATTATCCCAACCATACACAAATGCTGTAAGCTCTGCTTTATAGGGACCTGAAGTTGAATAGTTGTGGAAATTTCAGTATCTTCCAATGGTATTTGTTGAGGATGAGATACCCTTGAGAATGCAGGAGTGAGTCAGCATGTCCCTTGTTTGTTTCTGTTCAGTTGACCTAACTATGAGGTCAACCAATGAATTAACACATCTGTAAAGAATTTCAAGCCATCTTGTTAGCAGGGATCTTCAACCTTAACTTGGTAATCTGTTACATATGTGCTGATGTAGGTCACTGGATCTTGTTTTGATCCACGGCCAATGTTGTACTCCTTTACAGTCAGCCTTATGTTAACAGAGCCTCTGAGTAGCCATTGTATTTACAGATAATCTCAGCCAAGGAACCTAAACCTTGGAGGAAAAAGCTACTTTAAGCATTTTCCTTCCTCTATGCTTTAAGTTAAAACAGTAATACATATTTAAAAAATGTCCATGTGTATTCAAGTGTGATCACACGTACCATGAAATAGTCCATTTTATTTTCTGCAATTTACATCAACCTTTGCTTTTAGATTTGGTCCATCTGTAACGCTTCTTCCTCTAAAAATACTTCAAGATCAAGTTATATTTTTCAACCATGGGTTGAGATCTTTCCGAAATTGCTAGGTACGTGTAGTTAGAATATTTGTAAAGTCTGTGCTATCATTTTCCTTAGCATTTTAACTGGTGCGTACATGTGCTTGTGTATGTACTATGTGTAATATTCCCCTCTCCCCCTCACATACAGGTAACTGTAGGCCTACACATATACATGTACACTCACCCCACCCCTGTACATGTCCGTCCATACCTGTAGCACCTTCACCATCCTTGCAGTAGAGTAAGCAGTGTTTGCACTAGACTTTCTTGGGTCAAACCAAGTCAATGGTTACTTTTCCCATTTTAATTCCCGTGCCGCCATCCCATGAAGTTTTCCTTTTGGTTACTTTTACTGAGCAGCGCAGTCATTTCTACCGGCCAACGGAAAGTCCAGTGCGGACAGTGCAAGTTGGTAAAAGCATGGGAAAGTGACCGGTAGAGCGTACATCTGGCTCAAGCACAACAGCATGTATCATACAGGGAAACTATGCATGTGCGTTGCACGTTTCATCACAGTATGGCATGTGGCGAATATTTCCCCTAAATTTGTTCCTCTTATGGTAACAATCATGGCAGGAATGGTTATTGATACTTTTGGAACATTAACTGGTGTTAAGAATGCACCATTTCCAGATGATAATGAGGACAGTAACATGGGGTCAAAGGATGAAAATACATGCAGGAAGGTTACGCAAAGCGCCCTCATAAGTCATTGCATTGCCAGCTCGGTTACTTTTCCTGCAGTCTCGGTAAATTTTCCTGTGTCAAAAGTCCAAGTGCGGACAGTGGTCATCACATTTGCCCAGTTCTTAATATTACCATCGGCTTGGTGAAACCCATGGGAAAAAAGTCCAGTGTGAATACGACTTAAATCTTGCTGGCTATAATGACATGATGGTATCAAAGTGGAAGAATCATCTTTCCCAGGTTAGGTAATCTTGTCGCAAGATTTCCATTTCCTTGTCCAGGTTCTTTGTTTTTATTTTCAGGATGTGGTCATCAGTAGTTCAAGGTTCTCACACCATTATCGGTTTAATACTTTAAAGAATGGAATGAAAGCAGTCACCCATGTAACAGACAGATCAATATCTTGGGGAAACAGTATATGTTTTTTGGTGTTAATGTTCATCTTAAAATATTTTAGCACTATGGTACCCATAGTTTCTTCATTAAGTGTGTGTGTGAGACATAAGTATAAATTCACCCATATGACAATTACTGAAAAAGAATCATGATAAAAGGGACGAATTAATTAAAAGTGATTATCTTCAATTAAAAAGGAAGGGAAAAAATACTCCAAACACTGGAAGTTACGTGTGTTTCACTGTCTTTACATGTAGTTCTGGTGAATGGTTGTTCTTTCAAGAACTGAAAGGACTAAAATCACTCTTAGAGCTGTAAGCAAGCAGCAAACAGCCAGTTGGTTTTCAAAAGGATGGTTTTCATGAATAATTTATATGAGCATTTTCATTCATAGGCAGTCATAATTTCGTTGTACATTTGCCCATAATCTGTTCCCATTATTGTTAGTTGAATACCAACTCAAGCTCAATCAGTTCTTGTACATACAGTGCCTTCCATGCTTCCATGCATACTTTCTTTACTCTCTTATTCTCTCTCTCTCTTTTCCTCAGTGCAGTCTACAGGAGTATTCACTTATTAAAGTGACCTTGCATGGATATCAGCTCATTGCAAATATAATCACGCGTCTATAATAACTTAAGGGCTTTGGCATGGATATTCAATAAAATATTGGTTGTCTAGGTAGATCTTTTCAAATACCATACCAGGGCTTTATTCAGTTGATAAGAAGTCATTCAGTATTTGCAAATAACAATTGTGAATTGCCACCCTGTTGTGCAATATGCATTTGACAGAATTTGATAAGATTTCAACAAAACATCAAAGTACCTGAAGTAACAAACTTTAAGCTGTTTGCCTTCATGAACTACATGTATCAAAGAAAAAAGAATGAAAGAGAAATTTTTGAACAGCCATGGGACCCAACTTTAAAAACATTTCACTTGATAAAAAAAACTTGATAAAAAAACTTCAAACGTGCAAGGAATTGTGCTCATGAATTTTTTTTCATAGTGGGCAACTGGGTAATGTACGTTTTTACAATCTAGTACTCATTATTACCGGTATAACGTACTTCAAGCTTATAGTTACTGACAATTCAATCTACATGTAACCTGTTATTACACACTTGGAAGCATAGCGCTCTCTTTATATGCACTCCACAGAGTATATTATGCTCAAAATAACTTTGTGTACGGTGACAAAGAATTTCTGTGAGCACAGGTCAATAGCTATTATACATGTACATACATGTAAGTACCTGTACATGCATGGAGATATTGCTGCCTGAGTTTGATGCTTTTGCTGGACATTGCTGTGTGTAACATCATAGTATACCAGTGCTAGCATGCCATTATATTCATTCTATATTGTTTATGGTGCTTGAATCTGTGATCATTCACAGGGTTCTAAAATCTTCTGAGCGAGTGGAAGTTAAGCACATGTACTGTGCATGTATAGGATGAACATGATCATGGTATGTGTTTAATTATGTCTGTACTTAGCACAGACCATGAAGCACTACAGGCCATGATCGACATACATTGTGCAGTTAAAGCTTGTGTTGTACATGGACGTGTACA